GATATTGGAAGACTGCTATCATGTCCCCCCTCGTCCTTCTCTTCGTTAAACTACTAGACCTACCCAATTCCATCAACCTTTCCTTATATGTTTTAGCCTCCAGTCCCCTGAACATCTTTCTTGCTCTTCTCTGTCCTCTTTCTAGAGTCTCAACATCTTTTTTACATCGTGGTGACCAAAACTGGATGCAGGATTCCAAGTGTGGCCTTACCTTACTTTATTTTTATAATTCTCTCTCTTTTAAAACTGGGGTACAGACACAGGCCTGGCCTGACAGAAGCAACTGTTCCCCCATGACTCCCTGATTCAATCATGGAAACAAATAAAAGTAGTCCTCAAATTACGACCACATTGGAGCCTAAAATTTATCTTGCCAAGTGAGAAATTTATTAAGTGAGTTTTGCCCCACTTTACAACTTCGCTTGCCACAGCTAAATTGAATCGCTGCGGATGTTAAATTAATAACACGGTTGCTAAGTGAATCCGGCTTTGCCATTGACTTTCCCTGTCAGAAGGTCGCAAAAGGGGATCACGTGATCCTGGGACCGTCGTAAATGTGAGTCAGTTGTCAAGCATCTGAATGTAAACCACGTGGCTATGGGGATACTGCCACGGTCATAAGTATGAAAAATGGTCACGTCCCTAATAATAATAATGATAATGATAATAATAATAATGATGATGATAATAATAATGATGATGATGATAATAATAATGATGATGATAATAATAATAATGATGATGATGATAGAAGGGACCTTGGAGGTCATCTAGTCCAACCCCCTGCTCAAGCAGGAAACCCTACACCATTTCAGACAAATGGCTGCCCAGTCTCTTCTTAAAAACGTCCAGTGTTGGAGCATTCACCGCTTCTGGAGGCAGGTAGTTCCACTGGTTAATTGTTCTAACTGTCAGGAAGTTTCTCCTTAGTTCTAGTTTGCTTCTCTCCTTGATTAGTTTCCACCCGTTGCTTCTTGTCCTGCCTTCAGGCGCTTTGGAGAATAGCTTGACTCCCTCTTCTTTGTGGCAGCCCCTGAGATATTGGAAGACTGCTATCCCCCCTCGTCCTTCTCTTCATTAAACTAGACATTTTGGTGCCGTTGTAACTTCAAACAGTCACTAAACAAAACTGTTGTAAGTCGAGGACACACACTTTTTCTATTACTTTGAGCTTTCATTTTTTAAAAAATTGCCTTCTTGCAAATTTGCTTAGTAAACCCTGTTTATAGCTTAAACATCTTTGATCTACAAGTAGATCCAGATCTGTGCATTAGGCCTGGAAATAAACCCAAAGGTCCTGGGGAGTGGAGCAATCAGCGATTAAAAGCACTGCCTTATTTTTGAATGTATTTATCCTTCTCCCCTTGGTGACAGGTGGTGTTCCAACAGGTGGCAAACATCTATGGAGATTCTGAGTCCTCCAGGTCATGCTTTTTCAGGAGGCACCTGGATTTTCTTTGCTCTTTCTTGAAGACGTTCCCCTTCTCATCCAAGGAGCTTCTTCAGTTCTGACTGGACGGTCGGGAATGGAAGGATTTACACCCCTTGCAAACCTTGGTCCTTGCCTTGGTCATTTGCATTCTTTTAGAGAGCTGTTGAGGCCACTTGGAGGTTTATCTGTGTCCACAATTTTGAACATCCCTCCCTCCACAGAGGGGGAGGGACACGACATCATCTATCTCCAGTCTACAACACAGTCCTTTCAGCAGTTCCACACCCATTTGCACCACTCCGTTGACCCTGAGGACACAGATAAACCTCCAGGTGGCCTCAACGACTTTCCAAAAGAATGCAAACGACCAGCTGTCTGCAAGGAGTATAAATCTTTTCCTTCCCCACCATCCAGTCAGAGCTGAAGAAGCTTCTAGGATGAGAAGCGAAACGTCCTCAAAGAAAAACAAGAAAGTCCAGTTACCTCTTGAAAAAAGCATCTTTGGGACAACAAGTGGCAAAGATTACACAAACCAGGGGTGGCTCTATTGAGACCAGTGTTTCTCAACCTTAGTGTGCTGGCTGGGGAATTCTGGGAGTTGAAGTCCATACATCGTAAAAGTCGACAAGGTTGAGAAACACTGATTTAGATGAGTAAGACCAACCGCTTGTTCAGTGCAGGAACCCAGCCTGAAGCATATCTAAGGGAGAGAGGGAGCACAGGCTATGGATCAATATGAATATAGGTGGTCCTCAACTTACAACGATTCATTTAGGGACCGTTCAAAGTTACAACGGCATTGAAAAAAGATGACTTCTGTTTTTCACACTTATGGATGCTTGGCCCCTGACTTGTCACAGCTGCAGCGATTCGCTTAGCAGCTGTGGCAAGAAAGCTTGTAAAACTGTCTCGCTTAGCAATGGAAATGTGGGGCTCAGCTGTGGTCATAAGCCGAGGACTACCGATATGCAAGAATTGTTGTCTAGGCCAGGGCTTTTCAACTTTTTCACCCATTGTACTACTTTTAGGATATGGCAACATCCGAGTACCACTAGTCGCCTAGCAAGGGGTCAAAAACGTGATGACTAAAAAAAAAAAAAAGGAAAAAAGTGATAAAGTACAGGTAGTCCTCGACTTACAACAGTCCGCTTAGTGACTGTTCGAAGTCACAATGGCACTGAAAAAAGTGCCCCCCAAGCCACAGCCGAGCAAGACACCTGCCTGCCCGCCCAGCGGTGCTCTTCCTCCTGTCCGAGGTTTTCATTGTTGTGAGCATTTCTGTTGAGGATTGGCAGCGGGGGTGGGGTGGGGGGTGTTTGGTTTTTATTCCCCCCGTCTGCTGGGTGGTTGCAGCAGGTCACTTCACATGACCCTGGGACACTGTGACCGTCATAAATATGAATCAGTTGCCACACATCTGAATATAAATCACAAGACCCTGGAGATGCTGCAACATTCCAGCTGATCGGCGCTTCTTCTGGGCTCAACAGAAGCGCCAGGATCAGCGCCGAGCTCCAGCTGGAGCCTGGCGCTGATCCTGGCGCTTCCGCTAAGCCCTGACAGCCCTGAAGAAGCCCCAATCAGCTGGAAAGCAGCACTGATCCTGGCACTTCCGCTGAGCCCTGACAGCCCTGAAGCTCCAGCCATCTCTTGCTTAGGCTTGTGCGGTGCTGCCACCAGGTCAGTTCATTCCTCTCCCCCGCTACCACTTTTCTAGGATGGTCGCGTACCACCTGCCAGGTGCCAATGTACCACAGTGGTACTCGTACCACGGGTTGAAAAACCCTGGTCTAGGCAAAGAGGGATGAAACATTTCTGAGAAAGTTCCGAGAAGATAATATTCAGAATATTAAAATATTCTGATAATATTCAGAAGCTCTTAGGACAAGTGTCCTCCTGTAGGAGAAAGATTGGCAGAATCAGGAGGAGGAGTCAAAAGAGGCATCAGCTTAGAATCATTATGTAGTCACAAAAGAATGAAGTCCAATCCTCCTTGAATGCTATTGACCCTTATCTAGTACTAACCAGATGGTAACAGTTAGTCTGAGAAGATTCTTGTGCCTAGGCTTTAACCATAAATTAGTACAGGTAATCCTCGGCTTACAACATTCACTTAGTGACTGTCACTAAATCACCATACGTGACTTTCCCAACCGGCTTCCGACAAGCATCGTCAATGGAAGAAACCAGATTTTCATAACAGTCACAAAATTCCCCAAAATCACTGTAATTGTAGCGATTCGCTTAGCACTCACTGTGCCAAAAAGGTCACAAACTGGGGCACAGCTCAACTAACAACTGCCTTGCTTAGTCACAGAAATTTTGGGCTCAATTGTGATTGTAAGTCAAGGATTATCTGTCCTATAATGTACAACCTCTGCTTAAGAACATGCGTTTCGTGCACCTGATGCCCCATGGTTTATTGGAGGATAAAGGTGGGGAGTCAGAACGCATCTGAATGTGCAAGATTTGGTTATTTTAGCTTCTTGGAATAAAGGGTAGTTTTACTCTTCATGTGGCGTTGATAAATTTACCCCCCACACCAGCATCGACAATTGGGAAGTCGTTAAAAAGATCCCTGAAAAATGGAAAAATCTCTTCTGTAGCATAGCCCCCAAATAGCCAACGCTACCTGGATTTATCTTTGAAGTCAGAGTTGTACTTAACTTAGAAGTGTGGTAAGAAAGCACCTCCTTGCCAATCCTTTTTACTATGCCCCCCAAATCATAAGAATAAAACTCAGGAAAAGAAATACAGAAACAATGTTTCACTCATGAAACCACCTGGCTATTGCTATTGGATTCCCAAAGAGAGCTTGCTAAAAGAAATAGACGGAATAAAGATAAGGGGATAAAAAAGAATGACATCTATTTGACGAGATTGAAACTCAAGGAAGCCAGCATTTCAGACCCATTGCTAACCTTTGTGAAACAAGCTAAACAAATCTAATAACAAAAGCACACAAAGCAAGCCTCCAATTACAAAATGCTGTAAAACTGTATAAAAATCCTTGCACTCATCGAATCAATTTGTTAGCTGTCCCAGAACTGCATGCTCTTGCTGGTTCTGCTCATCAATAAAGAAGCTTCTTTCCTAAGCAGCCAGCCTCCATTTTCTATTCCCAGCTTGGAACCGGACCTGATTTTTCTTTCGCCAGAAGCATCTTTACTTTTACAACTAGTACGGCAGCCATTTTGTGACAGTGCTTGAAATTCCACCAGGCCATAAAAATGACTCTTAAATATACTTCATTTTCTAATGACACTGTAGTTCAAAATTTGTACAGGTAATCCTTGACTTACAACAGTTGGTTTAGTGACCGTTCGAAGTTACAACAGCACGGAAAAAGGTGACTTATGAGCCTTTTTCACACTTATGACCGTTGCAGCATCCCCATGGTCATGTGATCAACGGTCAGACACTGGTTCATATTTATGACAGTTGCCGCATCCCGGGATCATGTGACACCTTTTGTGACACCCCCCTTTTGTGACCTTCCGACAAGCAAAGTCAGTGCTTAAGCCGGATTCGCTTAACAACCACGTTACTAACTTAACAACTGCAGTGATTCACTTAAAACCGTGGCAAGGAAGGTTGTAAAATGGGGCAAAATTCACTTACCCAACGTCTCGCTTAGCAACAGAAATTTTGGGCTCTCAATTGTGGTTGTAAGTCAGGGACAACCTGTAATCTCTTGCCACAGAGCTTCTCGTCTTCCTGCAGGAAGATTTGACCGGGATGATGATGTCCCAAACCCTGCTAGAAATTCAGATGCTTGCAGAGCAGAAAAAAAAGTCTCCAACACGGACCAAGAGAAGCGTGGTGCTCTTCCACCAACTTGTCTTAATCATGGAGCCAAAGGGTAGGGTTGAAGAAGCTGCTAAGGAGAGGTTCCGTGAAGTCCTCACTTCTCCATCGGTCAGCTGGGGTACTGGAGTCGGAAGCCTGAAAAAGACAGAAAGGCTGGGATTTGACTCAAGAATGGCTTCCATAAGTAAGGATGGAAACAAGAAGCTCTAGACTTAAGGTCACACCACGAAGCTTCCTGATGGAAGAGAACACTGGTAGCTCAAGGTTGAACTGAGGGGTTCTTGGTGCTCTCTGAGATCGGTTTTTCTGTAGATGTTTCATGACCCAACTAGGTAACGTCATCAGTTCTAGAAGAGAGTGGGGTTTGCGAGGAGGAGGAGGAGGGCGAGGAGGAGGAGGAAGAGAAGGAGGAGGAAGAGGAGGAGGAGGAGGAGGAGGAGGAAGAGAAGGAGGAGGAGGAGGAGGAGGAGGAAGAGAAGGAGGAGGAGGAGGAGGAGAACTGTGGGGTCCTTGGTGCTCTCTGAGATTGGTTTCCCTGTAGATGTTTCATGACCCAACTAGGTAACGTCATCAGTCCTAGAAGAGAGTGGGGTTTGAGGAAGAGGAGAAGGAGGAGGAGGAGGAGAAGGAGGAGGAGGAGGAGGAGGAGGAGGAGGAGGAGGAGGAGGAGGAGGAGGAAGAAGAAGAACAGGAGGACTGTGGGGTTTTTGCTGCTCTCTGAAATCGGTTTCCCTGTAGATGTTTCATGACCCAACTAGGTAACGTCATCAGTGCTAGAAGGGAGTGGGGTTTGCAGAGGAGGAGGAGGAAGAGGAGAAGGAGGAGGAGGATGGAGAGGAGGAAGAGGAAGAGGAGGAGGACTGTGGGGTCCTTGGTGCTCTCTGAGATTGGTTTTTCTATAGATGTTTCATGACCCAACTAGGTAACGTCATCAGTGCTAGAAGGGAGTGGGGTTTGCAGAGGAGGAGGAGGAGGAAGAGGAGAAGGAGGAGGAAGGGGAGGAGGAGGAGGAGGGAGAGGAGGAGGAGGAGGAGGACTGTGGGGTCCTTGGTGCTCTCTGAGATCGGTTTCCCTGAAGATGTTTCATGACCCAACTAGGTAACGTCATCAGTGCTAGAAGGGAGTGGGGTTTGCAGAGTGAAGGAGGAAGAGGACGATGACTGTGGAGTCCTTGATGCTCTCTGAGTTAGTTGTTGGCTTGCAGATGTTTCATTACCCAACTAGGTAGCATCATCAGTGCTACTCACACTACTTGCGCTGATGATGTTACCTAGTTCGGTAATGAAATGTCAACGAAGCTGAGCAGGGCGCTCTCGTCCAGCTCAGCCTCTGCTCTCACTGCTCTGCTTCTGGAGCATCAGGAGCAAGAGGCTTGGCGGTCCAGCTGGGGGGAGGGGGAGAGGGGAACCGGGCAGGCACATGCACAGCTCCCCTCACCCAAGAGAGGATTTTGGGGCGCCGCTCTTGCGAGTGGGGTTGTGCGCATATGAGCTGGCCTGCCACTCACCCAGCCTGATTGCAAATAGGGCATGGTCCGACAGTGGGCCACGGCCCACAGATTGGGGACCCCTATCTTAGGGCATTATGTGAACCCAGCCTCTTTGGCTAGTTTGTTTTAATGTGTCTTATGTGAGCCCAGAAAATTGACATAAATGTAATACGGAAGTATACTCATCACGAAGTCTGTTGTGTGACTGTAACTCTAGAGCAAAAGTCAAAAGATTCTTCCTAGGATTGTGTCCACAAGAAATCACAAACATAAACCAGATGCCATAAAATTCTGTGGCAATAACCGAGTAACAGAACAACAGAATTGGAAGGGACCTTGGGGGTCTTCTAGTCCATCCCCCTTCTGCTCAGGCAAAAAACCTTATACCATTTCAGACAAATGGCTGTTTAGTCCCTTCTTTAAAACTTCCAGTGATGAAGCACCCACAACTTCTGGAGGCAAGTAGTTCCACTGGTTAATTGTTCTCACTATTAGGAACTTAATAATAATAATAATAATAATAATAATAATAATAATAATAATAATAATAATACCTACAAATAGAAATAGAAAGACTGTGGCAAAAGCAAGCAAGGGTAGTACCAATAGTCATAGGCTCCTTGGGTGCAATCCCAAAACAACTGGAGCACCATTTGAACACCATTGGCATTGACAAATTCGCTATTAGTCAATTTCAAAAGGCGGCCTTATTAGGAACTGCTTCCATCCTGCGACGATATCTGTAATACCATCAAACATCCACATCTGCCTATCCCAGGTCCTGGGTAAGGACTCGATAGGTAGACAAAATGCCAAATCCAGTCTGAACATCTGGTTGACTGTGCGATGATCGATAATAATAATAATCAGAATAGACAAGAAAGAACTGGAGAAGATAACAAAATACAAAGACCTACAAATAGAAATAGAAAGACTGTGGCAAAGGCAAGCAAGGGTAGTACCAATAGTCATAGGCTCCTTGGGTGCAATCCCAAAACAACTGGAGCACCATTTGAACACCATTGGCATTGACAAATTTGCTATTAGTCAATTGCAAAAGGCAGCCTTACTAGGAACTGTTTCCATCCTGTGACGATATCTGTAATACCATCAAACATCCACATTTGCCTATCCCAGGTCCTGGGTAAGGACTCGATAGGTAGACAAAATGCCAAATCCAGTCTGAACATCTGGCTGACTGTGCGATGATCAATAATAATAATAATAATAATAAAGTTGGAAGGGATATTGGAGGTCATCTAGTCCAACCCCCTGCTCAGGCAGGAAACCCTATACCATTTCGGACAAATGGCTGTCCAATTTCTTCTTAAAAACTTCCAGTGTTGGAGCATTCACTGCTTCTGGAGGCAGGTTGTTCCACTGGTTAATTGTTCTCACTGTCAGGAAGTTTCTCCTTAATTCTAGGTTGCTTCTCTCCTTGGTTAGTTTCCACCCGTTGCTCCTTGTCCTGCCTTTAGGCGCTTTGGAGAATAGCCTGACTCCCTCTTCTTTGGGGCAGCCCCTGAGATAGTGGAACATGGCTATCATGTCCCCCCTCATCCTTCTCTTCATTAGTTAGTTCTAGGCTGCTTCTAACCTTGGTTAGTTTCCATCCGTTGCTTCTTGTCCTGCCTTCAGGTGCTTTGGAGAATAGCTTGACTCTCTCTTCTTTGGGGCAGCCCCTGAGATAGTGGAAGACTGCTTGTCATTAAACTAGACATACCCAAGTCCAGCAACCGTTCTAGGGTTAGGGCTGTGTGGTGTATTCATGTTTGCAACTAGTGGGTCAGGGTTAGATATAGCTCAACTGCCGACCCTTTTACTTTAGCATTTATTCCTCCCCAAACAATGCTGTGTCCACTCTTATGGACTGCCATTTTATCCTTCTCAAATGTCCAGAGTTTTATTCATAATGGAGGGAAAGGAGCAAGATCCAGCTGCTAGGAATTGTGGCCCAAAACACCACTTATTTTTGCCACAAAACTTCCAGAACTCGCTAGACAAGAGATAGCTACGGCCAACTTAACAGAATAACAGAGTTGGAAGGGCACCTTGAAGGTCTTCTAGTCCAACCCCCTGCTCAAGCAGGAGACCCTATACTATTTTAAACAAATGGTTGCCTAATCTCTTCTTAAAATCTTCCAGTGATGAAGCACCCACAACTTCTGGAGGCAAGTAGTTCCACTGGTTAATTGTTCTCACTATTAGGAAGTTTCTCCTTAATTCTCCTGCTTCTTTCTTTGGTTGTTTTCCATCCGTTGCTTCTTGTCCTGCCTTCTGACGCTTTGGAAAATAAGTTGACCCTCTCCTCTTTGTGGCAGCCCCTCAAATACTGCAAGACTGCTATCGTGTAGAAGATGTATTAATAAACCTACAGCTTCAGCAGAGAGCCTGGTTAATTCATGGCCGGTATCCTTAATTACTCATCCTAATGACTCATTGCAATCAACTCTATACAGATCTCTCCAGCTGCTTGGAGATGACAGTGGGAAGGGGGGGGGGTGTCATCAGGGTATAGTGTTAAAAAGTCATAGGATGTGATCAAAGCTCTGCTTGCCTTTAATGTCTGTTGTAGGCTTTTAAGATTTCTGTTATAATTCCCTAGCCACACCAATAAAGAGCATTCTGAAATCCCTGCTGTAGCTGTTTTTTTTAAAAAAATCTTTCAATTTATCTCTGTCACATCTTACACCAAACCCTGCATCAAGACAGATTTTTTTTTCTAATTTTACTAACTTAGTTCTTTTATTTATATCCCACAAATTATTATTTTTACAAATAATATAATAATAATAATAATAATAATAATAATAATAATAATAATAATAATAATAATAATAAAGTTGGAAGGGACCTTGGAGGTCATCTAGTCCAACCCCCTGCTCAGGCAGGAAACCCTATACCATTTCAGACAAATGGCCGTCCAGTCTCTTCTTAAAAACTTCCAGTGTTGGAGCATTTACCACTTCTGGAGGCAGGTTGTTCCACTGGTTAATTGTTCTCACTGTCAGGAAGTTTCTCCTTAGTTCTAGGTTGTTTCTCTCCTTGCTTAGTTTCCATCCGTTGCTTCTTGTCCTGCCTTCAGGTACTTTGGAGGATAGCTTGACTCCCTCTTCTTTATGGCAACCCCTGAGATATTGGAAGACTGCTACCATGTCACAGTTGCTACTATTGAGCAAGGTACCCCCTATACTATACCTGTGCATTTGTTTTTTCTTGCCTAAATGTAGAACCTTACTTTTTTCACCACTGAATTTCATTTTGTTAGATAGCGCCCAGTGTTCTAGTCTGTCCAGATCCTCCTGTATCCTAAGCCTGTCTTCTGGAGTGTTGGCTATTCCTGCCAGCTTGGTGTAGTCTGCAAATTTGATGAGTTCTCCATCTATCCCCTCGTCCAAATCGTTGAGGAAGATGTTGAAGAGCACTGGGCCCAGAACAGAGCCCTGGGGCACCCCACTCCACACTTCCCTCCATGTAGATGCGGTTCCATTGAGGACCACACGCTGAATACGGCCAGTCAGCCAGCTACAGATCCATCTGGTGGTGATTCTGCCTACCCCACATTTTTCTATCTTAACCCACATTTTTCTATCTTGAAGGTGGCAAAGATATTCAAGACATGTTCCTCCTTCTAGTTTCCCCACATCAACAACCTTGTAAAGTGGGTTAAGCTGAGAGACAGAAATTGGCTCAAGGTCACCCAGCTAATGCCTAAGGCGGGACTAGAACTCACTGCTTCCTAGTGATTGGCCCACCCAGCCGGCTTTCATGCATAAGGCGAGACTAGAACTCATTGCTTCCTGGTGATTGGCCCAAAGTCACCCAGCCGGCTTTCATGTGTAAGGCGGGACTAGAACTCACTGCTTCCTAATGATTGGCCCAAAGTCACCCAGCCGGCTTTCATGCGTAAGGCGGGCCTAGAACTCATTGCTTCCTGGTGATTGGCCCAAAGTCACCCAGCTGGCTTTCATGCATAAGGCGGGACTAGAACTCACTGCTTCCTGTGATTGCACAAAGTCACTCAGCCATGCATAAGGCGGGATTAGAACTCACTGCTTCCTTGTGATTGGCCCAAAGTCACCTAGCTGGCTTTCATGCGTAAGGCGGGACTAGAACTCACTGCTTCCTGTGATTGGCCCAAAGTCATCCAGCCGGCTTTCATGCCTAAGGCAGGGGGTTGGACTAGATGACCTCCAAGGTCCCTTCCAACTTCATCACCATCATCATCATCATCATCATCATTATTATTTATACTGTATGTCTATAGAGATTCATAATCCTGGTGGTCCCAAAGGAGCTTGGTTTTTTTTTTTTCCCTAGAAAACATTTTGCTTCTCACCTTTCTCAGAAATGTCTTGAATGCGAAGCGAAAAGGTTTTAAGGAAAAACAACAAGGAAGTCCAGTTGCCTTTTGAAAAAGCAGCTTTTAGGATTACCTCTGCTGGAAACAAATGCTTTTAAAATGCCTTTTAAAAAGGCATATGGTTTTTCACAGGGCCCAGCAAACTTTGTGCGTGTGTGTGTGTGTGTGTGTGTGTGTTTGTGTGTGTCTTGATCTGACTTCATCCAAACGCTCAGAGGAATATCATTGGCTAATATGGTACCCAACCTGGCTGGCAGTTGATGCCATTCCGTGTCCATCCTCTTCGTTCTCTGCTGAGCTGTCCGTGGTGCTGAAATCTTCTCCAGGCGCTTGCCCCACGCTTTGAGTAGGTACATTGTCTGCTCGGTCAGCCTCAGGCAGAGGTGATGTCGAACTGGAGTCAAGCACCTGGAGCCCTCCATCCAGCTGAGTCTAAAAATATATGCATATCCAGGAGACGAAAAAGGAGCGTAAATCTGGATATTCAACAAAATCCTAGATTTGAGAATGTTGTGATGTCTATATCGGATTACCTGGCATAAATCAATCTACAATAGATTTGTTTTTTTTTTTTTAAAAAAAATCTAGTTTGAGGGAACTGAAAAGGTATCAATCTACCCATTTCCTTGTAGAAAGAGTGTAGAGTTTCTAAAATGCTTCTTAACTGCCTGTGTATCACACATCGAACTTAAATCTTAGCAAATCGCCAGGGCTTCACTTCACATGTCTCTCAAAACAGGCTACATTACAATAAAATCTTGATCTATCGAGGAACTTGGGGGAAAGAACCATCTATTATTGGGTGTGACTCACACTGTTGCCTTGCTTAGCAACAGATGTTCTGGTCCCAGTTGTGGTTGAAAGTCGAGGACTATCTGTATCAGGAATTTGAAAGGTGTGGGTATAAGAATCATTGGGCATATGATAACCTAACTAACATACCAACATCAAAGACCATTCATGGTTAACCTGATTACTGAACTAATTATTCTGTGTCCTCAGCTTCTTCTATGAAACCATTTTTCAGGTGTTTGAAGAGTAGTAAACTGCCAGAATCACTTCCAAGAGAGGGATAACAATAGCAGTAGCGCTTAGACTTATATAGCACTTCACAGTGCTTTTCAGCCCTCTCTAAGCAGTTTACAGAGTCGGCCTATTGCCTCCAACAATCTGGGTCCTCATTTTACCAACCTCGGAAGGATGGAAGGTTGGTAAAATGAGCCAGTGCATCCCTCCATCCATCCATGGATCCATCCCTCCAACCCTCCATCCATCCATCCCTCCAACCAGTGAGGATCGAACTGCCAAACTGCTTGAGCTAGTGAACTGCTGGCAGTCGGCAGTGAGCAGAAGTAGTTTGCAGTACTGCATTCTAACCACTGCGCCACCATGGCTCATGGTCATGGATGGCCATATAAATGCAGTAGACAGTTGTTTGCTTGTTTGTTTGTTTGGATGGATGGATGGATGGATGGATGGTTGGTTGGATGGATGGATGGATAGAGGGTTGAATTGATGGATGAATGAATGGATGGTTGAATAGGATGAATGAATCTATGTATGTTTGGATGGATGGATGGGGGGATGGAAGATGGATGAATGAATGGATGGTTGAATAGGATGAATGAATCTATGTATGTTTGGATGGATGGAATAGGATAAATGAATCTATGTATGTTTGGATGGATGGATGGATGGATGGATGGATGGATGGATAGATAGAGGATTGAATTGATGGATGAATGAATGGATGGTTGAATAGGATAAATGAATCTATGTATGTTTGGATGGATGGATGGATAGATAGAGGGTTGAATTGATGGATGAATGAATGGATGGTTGAAAAGGATAAATGAATCTATGTATGTTTGGATGGATGGATGGATGGGTGGATGGATAGAGGGTTGAATTGATGGATGAATGAATGGATGGTTGAATAGGATAAATGAATCTATGTATGTATGTTTGGATGGATGGATGGATGGATAGATAGATAGAGGGTTGAATTGGATGAATGAATGGATGGTTGAATAGGATGAATGAATCTATGTATGTTTGGATGGATGGATGGATGGATGGATAGATAGAGGGTTGAATTGATGGATGAATGAATGGATGGTTGAATAGGATGAATGAATCTATGTATGTTTGGATGGATGGGTGGATGGATGGGATAGAGATGGATGAATGAATGGATGGTTGAATAGGATAAATGAATCTATGTATGTTTGGATGGATGGATGGATGGATGGATAGATAGAGGGTTGAATTGATGGATGAATGAATGGATGGTTGAATAGGATGAATGAATCTATGTATGTTTGGATGGATGGATGGATGGGTGGATGGATGGAGGATTGAAGGGATGGATGGTTGGATGCATGGATGGAGGATTGGATGGATGGATGGATGGATGGATGGATGGATAGATAGAGGGAGGGAGGGAGGGTTGAAGGGATGGATGGACGAATGCATGGATGGATGCATGGATGGAGGATTGGAAGCATGGATGGAGGATTGGATGGATGGATAGATGGAGGGAGGGAGGGAGGGTTGAAGGGATGGATGGTTGGATGGATGGATGCATGGATGGAGGGTTGGAGGATGGATGGATGGAGGGTTGGAGGGATGGATTCATGGATTCATGGAGGGATGCAGGGATGGATGGTTGAAGGGTTGGAGGGATAGAGGAATGGGTGTGTATGCACATACACACACATACACACATACACAGAGAAGGCAATCGTGTTTTCCTTCAGTCTTCTATTCTCAGGGTCAAAACTATCTCCTTCCTTCAAACCTCTCTTCTAAAACTTAGTTTCCAGCCCCCTGATCACCCCTATCCCCCTTCTTTAAACCTCTTCCAGTTTCTATACATCCTTCTTAGTGGTGCCCACTAACACGATGTTCAAGCTGGTGTCTGAGCAAAGCAGGAGAGAGGGGAGTAAGGCTTGCTCCTCAAGTGCACAAACCGGGAGAGTGAGAACTGAGAAATTTCGCATAAAAGTCAAATTCGGCAAAAGGGAAAAGAAAGTAGAAAAAGAAAGAAGACGACAGCGGAAGAACCAAGAGGATGGAGTTGGCACAGATGGCTTCCAGCTTTTAGAGTGGGATTTCTGGATCAGGAGACTGGGATTTGGATCTTACCTGCTGGGTGGCCCATAGATGGCTTTCTTGACTAGTTTCAACTAGAGATTCAGTGGCCTCTGGGGTTGACGCTCCTGCCCCAACAGCAGCACAGTTCCGAGTCCCGTTCACCAGAGGAGATAGTCCTTGCCACGGGTCTTCGTGTCTAAGGGCAAAAGGGTCGTTGAGGTCCTCTTCCCTCTCACCACCTTCTGGTTCCGTCTCTCCTAAAGTGTCTTCTGATTCCCCACAGCCCCCTTCTTCTTCAGCCGCCAATTCGGGGTCTTCAACTAGAGCAAAGACAGATGTTGGTGGGATGAACATCAAAGTCCCAAAGACCCCTTTTCCAAAAGGCAACTGGACTTTCTTCTGTATGTGTGGTTTTTTTTTTCTTGGAAAAGGTCTCGCTTCACATCCAAGAAGCTTCTTCAGTTCTGAAGAACTGAAAAAGCATCTTAGGTGAGAAGTGAAACGCTTTCAAAGAAAAAACAACAACGAGAAAGTCCCCGTTGTGAAAAACCAAATGCACAGGTATAATATATAGGGGGTACCTTGCTCAATAGTAGCAACTGTGAGAGGGATCTCGGAGTCCTAGTGGACAATCCCTTAAATATGAGCCAGCCGTGTGCTGCAGCTGCCAAAAAAGCCAACACAGTGCTGGGCTGCATTAACAGAGGGATAGAATCAAGATCACGTGAAATGTTAATACCACTTTACAATGCCTTGGTAAGGCTACACTTGGAATACTGCATCCAGTTTTGGTCACCCCTATGTAAAAAAGATGTTGAGACTCTAGAAAGAGTACAGAGAAGAGCAGCAAAGAAGATCAGGGGACTGGAGGCTAAAACATATAAGGAACGGTTGCTGGAATTGGGGATGTCTAGTTTAATGAAGAGAAGGATGAGGGGGGACATGATAGCAGTGTTCCAGTATCTCAGGGGCTGCCACAAAGAAGAGGGAGTCAAGCTATTGTACAAAGCCCCTGAAGGCAGGACAAGAAGCAACGGATGGAAACTCATCAAGGAGAGAAGCAACCAGGAACTAAGGAGAAACTTCCTGACAGTTAGAACAATTAACCAGTGGAACAACCTGCCTCCAGAAGCGGTGAATGCTCCAACATTGGAAGTTTTTAAAAAGAGACTGGACAGCCATTTGTCTGAAATGGTATAGGGTTTCCTGCCTGAGTAGAGGGTTGGACTAGATGACCTCCAACATCCCTTCCAACTTTTTTATTTTTATTTTTTTTTCAATATCTCTTAAGACTCACCCTTTCTATTGACCTCACCGCGTGGGTGCAACATTGGTGTAATTCAGGTTGAAAATGCCTTTGGCTGACATTCAAATATTGACTTCTTTGGCGCATGGATCTCTCTGGCCATTAGGAACTTCACGCTACCCCTCCTATCCATCAATATCCCAGATTTACGTGGCTGGTTGGGGTCCTTGAGATATCTTTTAAGTAGCACCTACGGATTTCCCTTCCTAAAATATACACGTAGTAGTAACCTTACTATATTTTGAAGCCAGGAAAATCCCATCTTATTCTCTTGGGCTTCTAAAAGTATTAACCTTGAGACCAAGATCGGCTAAATAGAATACAGACTAACCAAGTTGGGACATTCAAGGTCATTTAATCCAACTCCTTGCTCAGGCAGGAGACCCTATACCAGAGGTGGGCCACCATGGCTCCTTTGAGCTGTGGACTTCAATTTCCCAGGATTCCTAAACCAGCCATGTTGGCTCGGGAATTCTGAGAGTTGACGCTCAGAGCTTGTAAAGGGCCCTTACTGTAGTTGCCTACCCCTGCCTTATATCATTCCGGATTGTCCACTCTATTTTTGAAAACTTCCAGTGTTGGAGCACCCACAACTTCTGGAGGCAAGCTGTTCCACCGATTAATTGTTCTCACCGATAGGAAATTTCTCCTTACTTCCAGGTTGCTTCTCTCTTTGGTTAGTTTCCCTCCGTTGTTTCTTGTCCTACCTTCAGGTGCTTTGGATGAAACGTGGAAGTGGTTTCAATCCTCTTAATTTTCATTTTGAAGGCCTGAAAGGCTTTCTTACCACTGAGAATGATTCATCAGGAGGACAGACTGTCTCCCAGAATTGTGGGGGGCTCCATTACTGGAGGTTTACAAGAAGAGACTGGACAGTCATTTGTCTGAAATGGTATAAGGATTCCTGCCATGGGCAGAGGATTGGACTAGAACGGGGGTCTTCAAACTTGGCCCTTTTATGACTTGTGGACTTCAACTCCCAGAATTCCTCAGCCAGGCACATGTGCCTGGCTGAGGAATTCTGGGAGTTGAAGTCCACAAGTCATAAAAGGGCCAAGTTTGAAGACCCCTGGACTAGAAGATCTTCCAGGGTCCCTTCCAGCCCAAAGATTCCATGTTTCCGTGATTCTATGACCTTTAATGAAATCCAGTTGATACAGGATTCGTTCCTCCACATTGAAATCCACTGCGTAGTGCTCCATGTTGTCATATCCTGGTTCTAGGACTTCTGCTTGGTAGCTGTGGCTCATCTCCATAATCCTGCAAGGAAGAGGGATGAAGTTACAGGTGGAAACCTTTGATTCTTTTTTTTTTTTCAATTCCCAAAGGCATGGATATTGTAAGGGAGTAAATCCTACTCACCTTTGGATGAGAACTTTGGCATTCTGATATATTGGGAAAAAAGGAGACAAAAAGATCAATACAAAAAACATCATAGGTTAGTCTTCAGCTTACATCAGTTCATTTAGTGACCATTCCAAGTTACAACAGCACTGAAAAAAGTGACGTATGACCGTCTTTCATTTACGACCGTTGCAGTATGCCCGTCACATAATAAAAAATCCAGATGCTTGGCAACTGACTCATATTTATGATGGTTGCAATGTCCCGGGGTCATGTGATCCCCCCAAATCATCAACTTTACCCGGATTTATCTTTGAAGTTACCAGAGTTGAGCTTAGCTTAGAAGCATCTTTACTGTCGTAACGAGTAGGGCAGCCATTTTGTGACAGTGCTTGAAATTCTACCAGGCTTTCTTTTAGAGCAGGCGGTCTTCAAACTTGGCCGTTTTATGACTTGTGGACTTCAACTCCCAGAATTCTTCAGCCAGAGTGCCTGGCTGAGGAATTCTAGGAGTTGAAGTCCACAAGTCATAAAAGGGCCAAGATTGAAGACCCCTGTTTTAGAGAGTCGTTGAGGCCACCTGGAAGTTTACCTGTGTCCTCAGGATCACCTGAGTAGTGCAAATGTGTGTAGAGCAGGGGGTCTTCAAACTTGGCCGTTTTATGACTTGTGGACTTCAACTCTCAGAATTCTTCAGTCAGAGTGCCTGGCTGAGGAATTCTGGGAGTTGAAGTCCACAAGTCACAAAAAGGGCCAAGTTTGAAGACCTCTGGTGTAGAGCTTTCTTGGCTGCAGGGGATGTTTTCTGCCCTGGGTCCCTTCTCCGTTGACGACAAGTGCAGGCTGTTGGGGATGAGTCTGTGTTGTCTGCATCTCAAACTTGGATTTCCGGAACGGGTTTCCAGAAAACACAGCAGAATACAAGAACCATTTGCAGTTTGAGATGCAGACAACACAGACTCATCCCCAACAGCCTGCACCTCTCTAAAAAAAGGCAAAGGACCAGCTGTCTGCAAGGAGTATAAATCCTTCCTTTCCCCACCATTCAGTCAGAACCTGAAGAAGCTTCTTGGATGAGAAGCGAAACATCTTCAAAGGAAAAACAAGAACGTCCAGTTGCTTCCTGAAAAAAGCACTTTTGGGACACCTTTGGTCTTAATTATAGTTGTTAAGTCGAGGATACCTTTGATATATTTTACATTTTGCTGGTTTCGGGGCCCTTACTTGGACGAAAACGGACATCTGAGGCTCTTCCATGGATTGCAGGGCTGTGTCCACCAGCTTGGAAGAAGATTCGATGTGGTCGCTGCAAATTTTGCTCAGCCCTTTCAGATGCTGGGTCTTGCGCTCCTGTTCGTAAGTGACCCGTTGCAGCATGATCTTTCTCCGCTCTTCCAAAATAGCCCCCATGCGGTCAAACTTCTCACACAGGGCCTGCTTCTTAGCGTTGCAATTTGCCTGCTCAAGAGAGAAGGGTCAGGCAATACAGCCAGGTTAGATGGTCTAATACAGTGGTTCTCAACCTTTTTAATGCCGCGACCCCAACCAGTCGTAAGTCGAGGACTACTCAACCGGTCGTAAGTCGAGGACTATTCAACTGGTGCAGCACCGTTTGCAGAATGGGACTTTTGGCGGGCTCAGCAGGGCAGAGACAGCCTGGACAATTCCTTTTGGCTTTTGAAAGCCAATAGAATTAGACTCTATTCAAGAGTCTATTCTATTGGCTTTCAAAAGCCAATAGAATAAAAGGGAGTAGCACAGCTAAGGAAAAGGGGGAAAAATGGTGGACTGCGTTGTTTGGTGACCCCCGTGAAATGGTCATTCGACCCCAAATGGGGTCCCGACCCACAGGTTGAGAACCACTGGTCTAATAAATCATTAGTCACCAACAAGATTAGCAAAAATGTTTAAAAACATGTCAGAGAAATGTTGGAAATGTAAACACAAACCAGGTACTTATCATCATATGTGGTGGATATGTATTAAAGCAAGGAGATATTGGACAATAATCCACACTTGATTAGAAAAAATGTTAGAGAAACACATAGACCAGGGGTAGGCAACCTTGGCTCTTTTATGACTCGTGGACTTCAACTCCCAGAATTCCTGAGCCAGCCATGGTGCAGCATGGAAACCTCTCCCTTTCCCCTCAGCATGGCTGGCTCAGGAATTCTAGGAGTTGGAATCCACACATCTTAAAGTTGCTGAGGTGGAATGGACTAGGCCAGGGGTAGGCAACCTTGGTTCGTTTTATGACTCGTGGACTTCAACTCCCAGAATTCCTGAGCCAGCATGGCTCAGCTTGGAAACCTCTCCCTTTCCCCTCAGCATGGCTGGCTCAGGAATTCTGGGAGTTGAAGTCATAAAAGAGCCAAGGTTGCCTACCCCTGACATAGACTGTAAACCTGAATTTTTTTTTACTAGGTATAATACCAGAAAAACTTGATAAGCAAAGTACATATTTGATTCAACATGTGATAACAGCGGCAAGAATTATATTTGCACAATATTGGAAGAACGAAGAAATACCACCAGAAGAAGAAATCATCAAAAAAAATATTAGACTGTGCGGAAATGGACAGACTCACTTTAAGGTTGAAAGAAAAAGAAGGAAACAGAATATTTTTAAACTTGGGGCCTATTTTGTCAATGGTTAGAGAAAAGATTTAGGGATTAGGAATTTACTTTGTATTAGTGAATAAGATACTCAGACAACATGCTTTTATTGAATAATTATTATTGTACTCTGTTAAAATAATAATAATAAAACTTTAAGCCATGGTTGGTTACTGAGGCTGGCTTTGCCCAACAGTACACTCTGGGGATGTCAAAATGTAGCCATTTTGTGAGGATGCCCACTGCATATGTTTGCGGTCTAGTCCCTGTTTAAAAACTGTGGAGTTTCTTGCTAATCATCCTTCTGATTCTACTTTTTTTTAATTCATCAGCCTGGATGGCTTTCTAACCAAAAGAGTTAGCATACTTTTAAAAATACATGATAGATTTTAATTCCTGGAGGATAAATTATGTCTACACATATATATATATTTTAAAACAAAAGCGATTAGTACCACACATTTGAAAAGTATCTAAATTTCACACACTTGTTCCGGAGATTTATTTGGCTTCATTTACTTGATTTTTTTTTTTTAAAAAGCCATTTATTTACAATCAAATGAAGTAGGAAGGGGGAGAGGGAACTTGAAAGAACTCAAATTTCAAATTGCACTGGGGAGATGTTTTTCCCCTTGTTACCTTCATAAATACTTGATTCATCCTGAATCACACCTAGTATGACGCCATCAAATAAATTTAGATAAAAGTCTTTTGCAACTTCTATTTTTTTATATATCCTTACAAGCTTCATCTTTTATATGCAGTTTTAAGAGGGTGAAGAAATATATTACAGATTGTCCTTGACTTACAAGCACAATTGGGGCTACAATTTCCATTGCTAAGCAAGACAGTTGCTAAGTGAGTCAGGCTAAGGTGGGACTAGAACTCAGCGTCTTTGGGTGATTGGCCCAAAATCACCCAGCCGGATTCCATCCTTAAGGCAGGACTAGAATTCACCATCTCCAGGTGATTGGCCCAAAATGACCCACTCAGATTCCATTCCTAAGGTGAGACTAGAACTCAGCGTCTCCAGGTGATTCGCTCAAAGTCACCCAGCTGGTTTTCATCCTTAAGATGGGACTAGAACTCACCGTTTCTGGGTGATTGGCCCAAAGTCACTCTGCCTGCTTCTGTCCTTAAAGTGGGACTAGAACTCACCATCACCTAGTGTTTGGCTCAAAGTCACCCAGCTGGTTTTCATCCTTAAGGTGGGACTAGAACTCACTGTCTCCTGGTAATTGACCCATAGTCACCCAGCTGGCTTTTGTGCTTAAGATGGAACTAGAACTCACTGTCTCCTGCTTTCTAGCCTGATGCCTTAACCACCAGACCAGGGGTAGGCAACCTTGGCTCTTTTATGACTCGTGGACTTCAACTCCCAGAATTCCTGAGCCAGCCACGCTGAGGGAAAAGGGAGAGGTTTCCAAGCCGAGCCAGGCTGGCTCAGGAATTCTGGGAGTTGAAGTCCACGAGTCATAAAAGAGCCAAGGTTGTCTACCCCTGACCTAGACCAAACTGGCTCATTTGCAACATTCAGTGGTCACATGACCGCGTTTTATGACAGTTTTGCTGAGAAAAAAACAGCATTTTTGGTTTTCAGCAAAACCATGCCTGTAGCCAACAAGGGGTTCACATTTATGAGCACTGTATCCACTTAATGACCACGGCAAAAATGTCATAAGATCGGGTCGGTCATTGGGTTGGGCAGGCAGCCTTACGGTCATAACTTGAGGACTGCCTGTATTTCTCTATTCCAGTTAATTATCTTGTGTGAATGCAGTCCCTGGAAATGTTTGGGGGTGTCAAGAAGTCTGGAAGCCATTCCTGGTTTTCAGAAAAAAAAAAAAAAAAGGAAGATGAATCGGGGCCTACCTCAACATTCCTGCCCTTGCTTTGCAGTTCCTCCATGTACGTTTGGATCCTGTCATTGGCTGCCACAAGAGTCCCGATTCCATCGGTCAGCAACGCCTAGATAGGAGCAGACGGCCTTGCGGTCAAGATCTGTATTTATTTTATACACACCCCACCTTTATTATCTTCTTGTAAACAACTCAAGGCGGCAAACATCTTCTTCTTACCATTTTCCCCACAAAAGCAACCCTGTGGAGTGGGGTGGGGTGAGAGAGAAGGACTGGCCCAAGGTCACCCAGCTGGCTTTGATGCTTAAGGCGGGACTAGAACTCACCATCTCCTGGTGATTGGCCCAAAGTCACCAAGTTGGTTTTGATGCCTAAGACAGGACTAGAACTCACAGTCTCCTGGTGATTGGCCCAAAGTCACCAAGCTGGCTTTGATGCCTAAAGCAGGACTAGAACTCACCGTCTCCTGGTGATTGGCCCAAAGCCATCAAGTTGGCTTTGATGCCTAAGGCAGGACTAGAACTCACCATCTCCTAGTAATTGGCCCAAAGTCACCAAGCTGGCTTTGATGCCTAAGGCAAGACTAGAACTCACCATCTCCTGGTGATTGGCCCAAAGTCACCAAGCTGACTTTGATGCCTAAGGGAGGACTAGAATTCACAGACACCTGGTGATTGGCCCAAAGTCACCAAGCTGGCTTTCATTCCTAAGGCGGGACTAGAACTCACCATCTCCTGGTGATTGGCCCAAAATCACCCAGATGGCTTTCATGCCAAAGGTGGGATTAGAACTCATGGTCTCCTGGTGATTGACCCAAAAAGTCACACAGCCAGCTTTCATGCATAAGGCAGCACTAGAACTCACCATCTCCTGGTGATTGGTGCACAGTGTGCCATTGTGTGCCATTGTGACTATAAAGGTTGCCTCGCCTCGCCTCGCCTCCCCTTGCCTTGCCTTGCCTTGCCTTGGCAGGCAGGGGCGCACCTTCTGCTTTGTGTAGATGTCCGAGAGTGGAGCCACTTCACATTCCTTGTGTTCCCCGAAAACCTTGCACAGGGAGCATGTGGGAACAGCGCACGTCACACAGTAAATGTTGATCCTTTCCTCCTCGTGCTCTTCGCAAGTTGCGTGCTCGCTTTTTAACAGAGGTCTGTTAGAGAAGAAAGAAAAATATTGGGGGGAGAGGAGAAAAGAAAAGAATATACGACGGGAGGAAGAATAGGTCTCCCCAAGGTTTCCAAATCCTCTTTAATTCTGTGATTGGGTCAAATCTGCTGCCCCCTTTTGAAGAGTCTACCCGGATCTCGCAAGCTGGAATAATAACCCCTTGGCGAGATGGGACGGCAAAGGAGTTTAACAAACCAATAAATAAATAAATCCGTCCGCATTTGGGGATGAGGGTGAAAGATTCCCCAGAACAGCTGAGAAGGCAGCCCACCTCTCTGGTCCGCTTGCTGGCGCTTGCTTGTAGATATCGATGATGTTCTCCACCAGGAGATTCCGTTGCAAGCCGTAGATGCCGTGTCTGTCCAGGACAACTTCGTGGCGGCAGGATGGGCAGCGGAATCTCCCTGCAGAGCCCAGAGTGGTCCCTCGAGACTGCGGGGTGCAACAGACCGGGAGGATCAATACACCAATAGGTAAGGTAGATGCTCGCTTTGAGGCAGCTTTGCTGTATGGCAGCAGTTCTCAACCTATGGGTCGCGACCCCAGAGCCGAGGTGGCGCAGCAGTTAGAGTGCAGTACTGCAGGCCACTTTAGCTGACTGTGTTCAGCAGGTCAGCGGTTCAAATCTCACCGGCTCAAGGTTGACTCAGCCTTCCATCCTTCCGAGGTAGGTAAAATGAGGACCCAGATTGTTGGGGGCAATGTAATATATATATATATATACATTGCTTACTGGTGTACACCGCTTACAGAGTGCTTGCACTTAAAGTGGTATATAAGTCTCATAAATAAATAAATAAATTTCACGGGGGGTCGCCAAGCAAGGCTGTCTGCCATTTTTTCCTCCTTTTCCGGCGGGTGCCTTACCTCCCTCGGGCTGGGCCAGCTGGTGGCCCAGCCGGTGGTCGGCCTGCGCCGTCTCTGCTGCTTGCCAGCTACGCCTTGGCCGGCGCAGGGGGCAGCACCACGCATGCGCGGCGCTCCCGGGCAGGGAAAGTCCTTGACTTACGACCGGTTGGGTAGTCCTCGACTTACGACCCATTTAGTCGTAGACTGATGACCTGTTTAGTCCTCGACTTACGACCGGTTGGGGGTCGCGGCATTAAAAAGGTTGAGAACCACTGCTGTATGGAGAGTTCCCCGTGGAGCGCTCAAGTACAGCTGAAACCATGTCTGGTGGGTTAAAGCTGCATTTCGGGAGGGGGAAGGGGAAAGGGGAAAGGGGAAGGAGGAGAGCAGGAGGAGGAGGAAGAGGGAGGGAGGCAGGGAGGAAGAAGGAGAAGGAGCTGGAGAGGGAGAGGAAGAGGGAAGCAGGGAAGAAGGGGAAGGGGAAAGGAATGAGGAAAGAGACAGAGGGAGGGAGGAGAAGGAGCTGGAGAAGGAGAGGAAGAGAAAGAGGAGGGAAAGGGAAAGGAATGAGGAAAGAGACGGAGGGAGGGAGGAGAAGGAGAGGAAGAGCAAGAGAAGGGAAGGAGGGAGGAAGAAAGGAGAGGGGAAAGGAATGAGGAAAGAGGAAGGAGGAAGGAGGAGAGGGAAGGGAGAGGGAGAGAGGGAGCAAGGAGGAAAGAGAGAGGAAGAGGGAAGCAGGGAAGAAGGGGAAGGGGAAAGGAATGAGGAAAGAGACAGAGGGAGGGAGGAGAAGGAGCTGGAGAAGGAGAGGAAGAGAAAGAGGAGGGAAAGGGAAAGGAATGAGGAAAGAGACGGGGGAGGGAGGAGGAGAAGGAGAGGAAGAGCAAGAGAAGGGAAGGAGGGAGGAAGGAAGGGGAGGGGAAAGGAATGAGGAAAGAGGAAGGAGAAGGAGAAGAAGGAGACGGAAGGGAGAGGGAGAGAGGGAGGAAGGGGAGGAAGGGAGAGGGAGGGAGGAAGGGAGGGAGGAGTTGGAGGAGAGGGAAAGGAAGAGGGAAGCAGGGAGGAAGAGGAAAGGAATGAGGAAAGAGACAGAGGGAGGAAGGAGAAGGAGCTGGAGAAGGAGAGGAAGAGAAAGAGGAGGGAAAGGGAAAGGAATGAGGAAAGAGACGGGGGAGGGAGGAGGAGAAGGAGAGGAAGAGCAAGAGAAGGGAAGGAGGGAGGAAGGAAGGGGAGGGGAAAGGAATGAGGAAAGAGGAAGGAGAAGGAGAAGAAGGAGACGGAAGGGAGAGGGAGAGAGGGAGGAAGGGGAGGAAGGGAGAGGGAGGGAGGAAGGGAGGGAGGAGTTGGAGGAGAGGGAAAGGAAGAGGGAAGCAGGGAGGAAGAGGAAAGGAAAGGAATGAGGAAAGAGACAGAGGGAGGAAGGAGAAGGAGCTGGAGAAGGAGAGGAAGAGAAAGAGGAGGGAAAGGGAAAGGAATGAGGAAAGAGACGGGGGAGGGAGGAGGAGAAGGAGAGGAAGAGCAAGAGAAGGGAAGGAGGGAGGAAGGAAGGGGAGGGGAAAGGAATGAGGAAAGAGGAAGGAGAAGGAGAAGAAGGAGACGGAAGGGAGAGGGAGAGAGGGAGGAAGGGGAGGAAGAGGGGAGGGAGGAGGGAGGGAGGAGAGGAGGGAGAGGGAAAGGAAGAGGGAAGCAGGGAGGAAGAGGAAAGGAATGAGGAAAGAGACAGAGGGAGGAAGGAGAAGGAGCTGGAGAAGGAGAGGAAGAGAAAGAGGAGGGAAAGGGAAAGGAATGAGGAAAGAGACGGGGGAGGGAGGAGGAGAAGGAGAGGAAGAGCAAGAGAAGGGAAGGAGGGAGGAAGAAAGGAGAGGGGAAAGGAATGAGGAAGGAGGAAGGAGGAGGAGAGGGAAGGGAGAGGGAGAGAGGGGATGAAGGGGGAGGGAGGGAGGAAGGAAGGAGGAAAGAGAGAGGAAGAGGGAAGCAGGGAGGAAGGGGAAGAGGAAAGGAATGAGGAAAGAGACAGAGGGAAGAAGGAGAAGGAGCTGGAGAAGGAGAGGAAGAGAAAGAGGAGGAAGAAAGGAGAAAGGGATGAGGAAAGAGACGGAGGGAGGAAGGTGAAGGAGGAGAAGGAGCTGGAGAAGGAGAGGAGGAGGGAAGGAAGGAGGAAGGAAGGGGGAGGGGAAAGGAATGAGGAAAGAGGGAGGAAGGAGGAGAAGAAGGAGAAGGAGAGGGAGAGAGAGAGGGCGGGGATGAAGGGAGAGGGAGGGAGAGAGGGAGAGAGGAAGGAAGGAATCAGGTGGTCTCTTGGGGTGTGTTTCAAGGGCATCAGATATTATTTAGTCCTTTGGACTAATCCCAAAATCATCCTCCACTTAAAATTCAGAAGGGGACCAAGTTGAGCCCACATAACTGATCACCTTGAGACATCTTATCCCAAGCAAATCCAACCTGTTTAGCTTCTTTGTAGTGTGGTTTTGTGAGGAACTAACCCCCCACCCCACCCCACCCCGCATCTTAAGTGGGTTATTTGGGTAGGTTAAGTTGCCCATGTTTCTGAAAACAGACACTCACATAGAAACAGAGACTGGAGGAAAGAGAAAACTAGCAAGCTTTGGCTCTCTGTAACTCAAATGTTACCATGTTTCCCCCGAAAATAAGACTGGGTCTCCCCCCCCCTCTAAAAGAGGCACCAGGACTTATATTCAGAGTAGGCCTTACCTCACCTCCAGCACCGACAGCCCCACCCAGCCGGTCCACTTCTTCTGGGGCTGAAGTTCTGCAGCTGCATTCGGGCCTGCATTTTGCAGTCAGGCCTTTCCAGAAGGCCTAAGCAGGCAAGTACTGTGCTTGGTGCTCAGCTGCTGAGGTCTTCCAGAACCAAGCTACGGATTGAGTCCATCTCTTGGTTCTCGGCTGCAGAGGCCTTCCGGAAAACCCTATGACTAAGAAATTCAGGCCTGGCTGCAGAAGAGGCCTTAGAAGAAGTGGGCTGGCGAGGAGAGGCCTGGCTGCAAGGGAAGCGGATGCGGGGCGGGTGGGGCAGCTCCACACCCCCAACCCAGTTTGATTTTTAGGTGTGTGCCTCACACCAAAACTATGGCTTATTTTTGGAATAGGGGTTATATTAGGCCCACCCCCCAAAAATCAAGCTAGGGCTTATTGTTGGTGTAGGCCTTAGTTTCGGGAAACACGGTCGAACGCTTTCTCCAACCTGCTGCAAATTTCTTCCCGTCTCACCTTTCAAAACCAGGGCAAAGCCAACAGTTCCAGAATTTGAAAGACGTCCCTCTTCTTTGCAGCCCAGGCCTCTCAAAGGTCAATGGCTCAATGCACACCCCTCCAGGGGGTTAGCAGGGGCCTAACTAGATCTGCTCCAGCAAAAGAGCATATTATTTTTTGCAAGGAATCCAAATGCCAAAGACCGACCGACTGACTGGAGCCGAGCCGTGATATCCAATAGCGCAAAGGCAGGTGTCGGTCATCCCCAAGGGGAAAACAAAAGACTGAGAACGAAAGCTTTCGTCGACCTTCAGGAATTGTGGACTTGGTGCCACAACTGTCTCTTGGAAGAAATCTCGATGGTATATATTGCACAAAGAAAAAAGGCCAGACTGGTGGCAGGTCTCAATCAGATGTGTATTTATTTATTTGCATCCTGGCTTTGTTAGGCTATTGTTTCAACCGTTTGTGTCTTGGGTTGCTTATTGTTGTTGTTGTTATTATTATTTGGTAAGCAGCCCAGAGTCCCTGAGAGTAGGTGGGCAGCAACATAAATTCTCATAAACAAACAAATAATTAAATCCTGTCAGGTGGGCTGGCCTGAGAGAGAAAGAGAGAGAGAGAGAGAGAGAGAGAGGGAGGGAGGGAGGGAGGGAGAGGGGAAAAAGAGATGGGGAGAGAGGGAAGGAGGGAGAGGGAAAGAGAGAGCGGGAAAGACGGAGAGAGGGAGGGAAGGAGGGAAAAGAGGAGAGATGGGGAGAGTGAGGGAGAGGGAAAAAGAGGGAGGAGAGATGGGGAGAGAGAGAGGGGGGAGAGGAAAAAATAGGGGGGAGAGAGGGAGGAAGGGAGAGGAAAAGAGAGGGGGGAGAGATGGGGAGAGAGGGAGGGAGGGGAAAAGAGAGAAGGAGAGAGACGGAGAGGGAGGGAGGGAGGGAGGGAGAAAAAGGGGGAGAGACAGGGAGGAGAGAGATGGGGAGAGAGACGGGGAGAGACGGGGGGAGAAAGAGAGAAGGCAAGAGAGGAGGAGGAAGGGAGGGAGAGAAAAAAAGAAACAAGCCCAAAGCAACCAGCTGACTTTTCTGCCTAACGCAGAACTACAACTTACTGTCTCCTGGTAACTGTCCAGAAGTCACCCAACCCGCTTTCATGCCTAAGGCGGGATTAGAACGCACAATCTCCTGGTGATTGGCCCAGTCATCCTGCTGGTTTTCACGTTTAAGGGGGAACTAGAATTCACAGGCTCCCGCTTTCTCGTCTGGTGCCTTAACCAGTAGCCCAAACTGGCACTCTATGTTGTGGTTTTCCTGATCTGAATTCACTAATACAGGTCCCTGTTACTCCAAGCAGGTCAAGGGTGTGTTAAAGAAAGTCAAGATGGTGGTCAAAACCAGGAAAGCCCTGCCCCCTTTTAAAAAATGGGTGGGGCTTAGATAGGAAGATTGTGGCTGCCATCTTGGGTATTTTTGACCACAAAGGAGGCTGTCCCTGCTCCAAGAAATATGGAAATGTAGAATAGGTTTTCTTAAAGCATCGAACATGGCAAATAAGTAGACTTTGGCCCTTGGGGTTGAGTGTATCTAATATCAGTGTGATGGGAGTTAGTTAGACATAATAATATTGTAATAGAGTGTGAACTTAGGGCTTTTGAAATAAGAGATGATAAGAAATGGCAGGTTGGAGAACTGGAGGGAAAGCCTGCATTTCAAACTAATTGTGGAGAATGTGATTTATGACTGTTAATTAGAGGAGGGAATTGTGTTTGATACTATGTGCTAAGGGGAGGGGAATTCAGATTTTGGCTTCGCTTATGCATGTGCCGATGCTATGCTGCTCGAATAAAGATTTTTTAAGGTAAACAATGCCTGAAAGTTCTTTGAAGAGTTTCATCTGTCGGAACCATGAGAATCAGAGTAATTTATTTTCAGAAGGAATCCTTCCCAGCATTCCTTGCAGTTCCTCTAAAGCAGACATGTCAAACTCGTGACGTCATGTGACGTCGTGCAACATATCAGGACGATTTCGCCATTGCCGGCAATGGGGTGGCGTGGCTTCTGGATGATGCGTCGGGCCGGCAGTTCAGAACTTTAGCCTTTTTAAGATGTGTGGACTTCAACTCCCAGAATACCTCAGCCAGCAACGCTGGCTGAGGAATTCTGGGAGTTGAAGTCCACACATCTTAAAATGGTTAAGGTTGGGTGACACTGCTCTACTAAAGTTTCTCTGGATGTAGGAACCCGAGCCTTAATTTCTGAACTCTTTTTTCCTTTCCTGATCTGCTGGATTTCAGTTTCCTGTCTTTCTGAAGTAGTTAAGACATGAAATACAAAGTCTAAAGTAGACGCAATGTCGTTTGTAAAAAGGACAACAACTGTACTCACCCTCTGAAAAAGACCAAATTACAGCCACCCACAAACACCGACGATACGATCCCATCCACCTGGTTCTCCCCTCCGCTGTGATCCTTGAAATCTCTGACGGCATCTTAACCAAAGTCCCCAAAGGGTTGACCCAACTCGGCTCTCCCAACTCTTGAGAGTCATGTCGGAGGAACATTTCCATAATCTGCTTTGAAAGGTTTCTCCCCCACAACTCACCTGAAAAATGTCATTGGCACACTTCCGGCAGAGATTGTGCTGACACGGGAGAATGACCACGGGTTTGGTGAACATCTCCAGGCAAATGGGGCAGATGAGTTGCCTCTCCAAGTTCTCCATCGTGGGACAGTCCCTTGGGTAGGAGGTGTATTCCAGGTGCTTCGACATGACAAGGGTTCAAGGCGGCCGTTCGGGAAGGTGCAGCTCCTTCTGTGTGTCCTTGCAGGACACTGTGGTGGGAAAAAGCTGGAGAAGCCCAGAAACATCTGACGGCTTCGTTTCCCCAGGGGATTCTCACATGCTACTTGAAGGCTCCAGAAATATAACCGCAGTGTCTCTGATGCCCCCCACCAGTGGTTTAAGTTTCGACTCAGTCTTAAAGGGCCACTTCAGCTCAAATGCAAAAGTTGGCGTCTCAAAGGTGGAAGCCAGGATTAAAATCTTTGATGCCCTTCAAATCTACGGTCCTGGAGATTGTGGCGTTACATTCTTGATTAAATTATCTTTCCACTGACATATAATTTTATGCTACTACTCCCCCCCAAAAGTGGTGTTATTAGCCATCAAACCTCAAAAATACACTTTTCCCAAAAGATTTCCACAATTTTGGCCACTAGTGTAGATCCGAGTGAAATTAAGTCATCAGGCTTCTTAGTTCCTGTGCTCTGTGAGTCTCAAGTTTATTTATTTATCTAGTCATTAGGCTTAAAAAGGCAAAGATAAATTAAAAACGGTTATCCACTTTCTTCTTAAAAGACTCCAGTGTTGGAGCATTCACCCCTTCTGGAGGCAGGTTGTTCCACTGGTTAATTGTTCTAACTGTCAGGAAGTTTCTATTTATTGATTGATTGATTGATTGATTTATGAGACTTATATACCGCTTTAAGTGCAAGCACACTCTCTAAGCGGTGTACACCAGTAAGCAATGTGTATATATATTTACATTGCCCCCAACAATCTGGGTCCTCATTTTACCTACCCCGGAAGGATGGAAGGCTGAGTCAACCTTGAGCCAGTGAGATTTGAACCGCTGACCTGCTGAACACAGTCAGCTAAAGTGGCCTGCAGTACTACACTCTAACTGCTGCGCCACCTCAGCTCTTCCTCCTTAGTTCTAGGTTTCTTCTCTCCTTGCTGAGTTTCCATCCGTTGCTTCTTCTGCTAAAGGGATATGCAACATCCTTTCCTGTCTGAATGGATGGACGGGCTGAGGTGATGGGGTGAAGATGGTTACGGAGGCCACCTGGCCCTAAGCCATGTAGGGTTTTAAAGATCACAACCAACACCTTGAATTGGACCTGGAATTAGATAATCTTTATTGTCATTTTTTACTGTGGGCCACACAAGTAGACCTGCACCCAATGCAGCTGGCGCAGCAGAGGGTGTTACATCTTTTGGTGCCCAAGATTGACTGCCTGGCTTCATCTTATACCAGCTGAAGCTTCCAGATACTTTTTAAGGGCAGCCCCATGTAAAGCGCGTTGCAACAGTCCAGTTGTTTTTCCAGTAGACCTGGGTCACCTCCCACCCAATGTCATTCCAGCTTCAGTAGTGGCCAAAATTGTGGAAACTTTTGGGAAAATTGTATTTTTGAGGTTTGATGGCTAATAACGCCACTTTTTGGGGGGAGTAGTACCATAAAATTGTACATCAATGGAAAGATAATTTAATCGAGAATGTAATGCAACAAAGTTTGTTCAATTATCTGAACTGTGTTCTATGAAAAGTTATAGCCAAACAACCAGAAAAAGGAAGCACAACTTGCTTAGGTTGATATCAGGTAGCTTTCCTTCATCCGATGGTAGCCAATGAGCATGAGTGTTTAGAGAACCAATCAGGTGTCATCTTGTTTTGGCCATGAGCCAATCGGATCACAGTAGGATTCAGTTATTGACGTCCTGTATTGAAGCTGAGAGGAGGACATTGGTCAGTGTGTTGTGTGATGGCTATCAAGTTGGTTGGGATTTTTTGTGTTCTTTCCTTTAGAGAGCTTGTAAAACGTAATAAAATTAAAGTCATGGTGCAAAGAGTTGACTGGTCGCCCAGAAAACGATGTAAAATAGTATTATTAAATGAACATGGCTACATTTATAAAGAAATTAGAAGAAAAATGGGTGGAAACTTAACCAAAGGTGGCATTTCTACTGTACCAAAAACCAAAAGGTTTCCACAATTTTGGCCACGACTGTATATTTCTTAATCCAAGGCTGAATTTGCAAATTGAGGGGGGAGGGGGCAAGGAATTTGGAGTGGCTGCTTTTGGGCTTTCTTTTTGGAGAAAAATTTAAGTTAATTCCACTTTTATCCCCAGGGATGGAAGGAGCGAGCCATACGGTGCAAACTTTCCTCTTGTGTCCTATAGTTTGCCTCTTTTCCCTTTAATTGAATCCCTTTTGTTTCATTTTAACTCAAGCGTGACTGGCGTTGAGAGGACTTTGATTCCCAGAATTCCTCAGCCAGCACAGGGAGTCCTCGACTTACGACCACACCTGAATCCAACATTTCTGGCAAATAGATGGGGAAGAAATGGAGGTAGTGACAGATTTTATCTTCCTGGGCTCCAAGATCACCGCAGATGGGGACTGCAGCCAAGAAATTAAAAGACGCTTGCTCCTGGGGAGGAAAGCTATGGCAAATCTAGACAGCATACTAGAAAGCAGAGACGTCACCCTGCCAACAAAAGTACGTATAGTCAAGGCCATGGTTTTCCCAGTTGCAATGTATGGCTGTGAAGGTTGGGCCAAAGAAAGGCTGAGTGCCAAAGAATTGAGGCCTTTGAGCTATGGTGCTGGAGAAGACTCCTGCGAGTCCCCTGGACTGCAAGGCGATCCAACCGGTCAGTCCTAGAGGAGATCAACCCCGACTGCTCTTTAGAAGGCCAGATCCTGAAGTTGAAACTCAAGTACTTTGGCCACCTAATGAGAAGGAAGGACTCACTGGAGAAGAGCCTAATGCTGGGAAAGATGGAGGGCAAGAGAAGAAGGGGACAGAGAATGAGGTGGTTGGATGGAGTCACTGAAGCAGTAGGCGTGAGCTTAAATGGACTCCAGAAAATGGTAGAGGACAGGAAGGCCCGGAGGAACATGGTCCATGGGGGCGCGATGGGTCAGACACGTCTTCGCAACTAACAACAACAACAAGGCAGTTGTGGAGTGAAGTATGCCCCATTTCATGACGTTTCTTGTCTCAATTGTTAAGTGAAGTTAGTAACACGATTGTTAAGTGAGTCTGGCTTCCCCATTGACTTTGCTTGTCAAAAGATTGCAAAAGGTGATGACAGGACCCTGGGACGCTGTGACCATCATAAATACGAGCCAGTTGCCAGTGTCTGAGTTTTGATCAGATTGCCACAACGGTCGTAAGTGTGAAAACTGGTCATAAGTCACTTGGCAACCTTCAAACCAATTTGGCTGCAGCCATCTTCACTTCATTTTTGGTTGCCACAGCAATGGGAGGGGGGAAGATGTATTCCCTTAAGTTTAGACGTAACCATAAATTGTTCTGTGGGAACCAAAGTCAAGTTATCTAAGTTTTGGCCGGGCTGAAGCTACCCTTAGAAAGCCCGCCAAAGTAGTCAATTGGGGATTGTGATTTATGACACACTGCAGGGATGGGGAGTTCAACTCGTTACTTTGTAACCTTGAGGGGTGGGGGGGAGGGGGAATTTCAGTCTTGGTTTCCCCTTTGTTCATGCCGATACTATGTACCGTATATTCCGGCGTATAAGGCGACCTGGCGTATAAGACAACCCCCGACTTTGGCGCTGAGTCGCATGCCTAGAAAGTCATCTTATATGCCGGAAACTACCGTTATTTCTGGCGTATAAGACGACTCGGCGTATAAGACGATCCCTGACTTTGGCGCCGATTTCAACGCTTTAAAAAGTCGTCTTGTACACCGGAAAGTACGGTAGCCGTTAAATGCGTTCTTTGAGGAAAGCAATTGCTTCGGGTTTCTTATTTTTACTGGTCTCATCTATCGGAACCGTGACATGACTTTTTTAATTGCTGTTGTGACTTCAAATCCGGCTATCGCTTATGGATTTCCACTTCAGTTAAATCCATTTTGGCTGGAAACAGCAAAGATTGTAGCAAAGAAAGAAAGAAAGAAAAAATACAAATCAAGCCAAGAATTATTATTATTATTATTTTTGCCATGAAAACATTTATTTTACAATCTTGGTTTCTGGTAATTTAGCAATCTTTATTTATTTATTTTTCACTTTTAAGTTCCTACTCAGACATACAATACATAAATTACCATGCTAAAAACATAATAGAATTCCTTCTGGAACTGGAAGTATGTACAGGAGCCCAGGACTTGCGAGTGTTAACAATCCACAAAGTGCGTACAGCCACAGCTACTTACATACAATTTAAAGGACGACCCTTTAAATAACATAACAAAATATATATATATATATTCTGTGTATATATATATATTTATAGAATTGCTTTTCAAATGCATCTATACTTTGTTTTTGTTTTTTTCCTCTCTCTTTTTAATAATTAACTTTTTGCTTTAATTTTTATTTTACTTTTTAACACATTTGGGATTTCCCCTCCCTTCTCCCATCCCGCAAACACAAGTGCAAAAAAAAAAAAAAATTACCTCAGAAGAGATCACAGTAAAATATACAAAATCAGCCTTAAGGGAATGAAGTGCGCCAGCCAAATGTTGCTTGTTTTTGGACCATTAATAAACCCAACCAACACTGTAAAACAGATATTAATTACTGGCCATCTACCTTTTATCCAGGGGATCTTAACTTGGGCCATTTGAAGACTTGTGGACTTCCACTCCCAAAATTCCTCAGCCAGCCATGCTGGATGAGGAGTTCTGGGAGTTGAAGTCCACAAGTCTTCAAGTGGCTAAGGTTGGGAACCCCTGCCTTAGTCCATCAAACTTCTTAAATATATGACTGACTGAGAACTAACTACTACGGGGGAAAAAATTCACACACACATATCCAAAAAAGCTCACAAACCTTAAGAAGAGCAGGCATACGAGGAAGGGATTAATCCAGGGGTCTTCAAACGTGGCCCTTTGATGACCTGTGGACTTCAATTCCCAGAATTCCTCAGCCAGGAACGCTGGCTGAGGAATTCTGGGAGTTGAAGTCCACAAGTCTTCAAAGGGCCACGTTTGAAGACCCCTGGATTAACAGAACTACTGATGAACACAGTGGACATTCACACAGAGACATCCACAGCCAACAAGAAAAACCGAACATCTGAAGGGCCGGTTGCTTGATAGAGCTTCAGGTTTAGATCATCCCTAGCTTCCCAGAGAGATATATATTTTTTTTAAAAAGTGCCTCAAAACATCTCCAATGAAATAACTTCTGTGACCTGCACGGTGCGGTTAAAATGATTGTGCTGAACGCCTCCAGTAAAATATAAAATATATGTCCTTTTAGGATAAGGGGTAGATAGATG